GAGATAGTCACAGAGAGCCCTACAAATAAGGGGCAACAGGTCCTGCCAAGCAGGCGCATGCCCGAAATACATGATGCCCCCCCACCTTCTCCACTTTTTTCCCTGGGTCCTCACTGCAGGGTCTTAAGCACTGAGTGGGGAGTACCATCCTCTCCCAAATGTATGTGTCTGTTTAGTCTGGTTGTTCGCTGTTGATCTGTTCACAACCGTAAGTAATGAAACTTTTTCATGGTTTCTCCCATCACGGTCTGAGAATGAGTTACTGAGACTGTAAGTGCCTGTTGATGACAAAAGGGTGAACTACCTGGGGAAGCGGAAGCTGTTCTACTCTGTGAATCTATGCGCCTCTACGGTGTAGCAAAGGTTTTGATTTTACCAGGAGATCCAAACTCAGCAACGTAGTTGACCCCAGCGGTCGGGCACTCACCCCAGTCCTTTGTGACGGCCTCGGTCAGGCTCACGTGCGCGACCCGGCAAGTGTAGACGCCTCCTTTCTCGGGGTCGACCGGCAGCGTCAGCCGAGCCTGGTAAGTCCAGTCCCCATTGCTGGAGATTTTTGGGGGGCCCAGCCCACTCTTCACGAGGGCCCCGTTCCACCACCAGGAGAGGTCCACCTCGCTCGGGAAGAAGCCCCACGCCACGCAGGCCAGCATGATGGGTGCTGGAGTGTTCCGAGGGGTGACGGGGAAAATGCGGACATTGGGGGGCGCTGGGAGGGGAGGGAAGAGGGAGGGGAAAGGAAGGGGGGAACAGGATTAGCCTCCGCCCTCAGGGGATCATGTGGCCGCCCACCCTGGCTTGTGCCATCCTGAAAACCTTGGGTGTTCTCGCTGAAATCCCAAATCCCCTTACCCCCCCTCCACAGAAAATTGAACGGGGGAGGGGAGAGGGTTTGGCTAATTTAATTTCATCTAAAGAGACATGGATTTTGCAAAGCCCTCTGTGGAAAAGCCCCTTTCTTAGCTGGGGGGGGAGAGAGGCTGCGACCAAAGCCGAAAAAGGAGATACTGGTTAAAAATGAAAATCGTTGTTCTTTGTCCCTTCCCTGGGCCCGCCCGGAGAGGCTTTTCCCCCCTTGCTGGAGGGCATCGCTAACATGTGGGGGTGAAACGAGGTGCCCCTCCTTGGAATCTCCCTCCTGGATCTGTGGGGTGGGATGGGGAAGGCACAGCCACCAGCCCGTCCTTCCTTAGCCTCAGGGGGACTCTTACCACCAGACCCACAAGCACACCCCAACACCCCCCCCATATTCGCCCCGGTTCTCCCTTCCACTCACTGCGCCGCTCTCCCGTCCTCCCCCACAGGGAGTGGGTCTGCCCCAGGCACGCGGCGGCCGCCTTCTGGCCCTGCCCGGGGAGCTGGCCGTCCAGCCAGTTGGAGATGGGGACGGAGGTGTAGTTCCAGGGGAAAAACTCCCCCAGGCCGCAGGGCTGGAACTGCTGGAGGTCGTTGTCGTAGCAGACGAAGGGGATCTTGTTGAAGGACAGGGTCCAGTTGGCCCAAAGGACCTGGCCGTCCGCCGAGAGGGGGCAGTCTGTCTCCAGGTGCAGGACGAAGCCCCCTGTAGCCG